TAATCGAATGCCGGTGGTTTCTCCCCGACCACCGGGACTTGTAGGTTCTTCGAGTTTTTCTCCAGAGGAGGGGCCGTGATCGAAGATGACGGCTGCGGAAGGTCACAATGAGTCTTGTTATCTCTAAGTGAAGCCTTAACCGCCATGGAAGCTTGATGTTGGACACGGACACCTTTAAACGGACTATGACCAATCTTTTTCCTCACACCTAACGGTTTGGTGGACCTTTTCCCAGCTAAGACCTGTTTCCCAGATTTGGGCTTTGTTTTCTAATTTATTCCCCCTAAGTCCAACTCCTTTTCTTTGTTATTCTTTGAAGATGGGCCTGGATCCTTAAACAAATCACGAAAGGGAGAGATGATCCCGTCGAGGCCCAACTCGGGTACAGCCACTGCGTCAGGAGCCCTAGCCACCGGAGCCATCGTATCCAGGTTTTGCTCCATCGTCGTCTTCTCCGGCTGAATACTGTTCCAGAGATTCGCCTACTTCATTGTCCGTGCTTCCGCCACGGAGGCCTTGAACCAGCCGGCTTTGATATAACCAGCCGCCGCCTCTTTCACCAGAGCCTTCATCTCCTCCGCTTCACGGATCTGAGTAGAGGCAGCTCGTCGTCTCCCGTTCGATCTCTTTGTTGCCGGCTCCCCCGCAGAGGAATCTCCTACCTCACAGATCACAGGTCGTTTCACGGATCGCTTCTCTTCTCCGATCAAAAGAGCTTTCTTTTGAGCCCAGTTCTGAGCCGACTCAATCCTGGCACTGGGTTCAATCACTTCCCGACTCGCCTCAGCATCATCCTCACCAAAGAGATTCCGGCGTATCAGCTTCCTGCGACGAGCCGCAATGTCGTCCTCGTACTCCGCCAAAGCACGATCTACCTGGGGAATCTCAGCTCGGTGAGTGAGAACAGGAGCCGGAGCTGCACTGGATCGGTCCCTTCCTCGTCGCCGATTATCCTCCCCACCATTCCGCCTAGAGTAACCACGGTTCTTGAGAGAGCGAGGCCTCTCCGGGCAGTCCCGAGAATCATGTGTAAACCGGAAGCAGATCTTACATTAGCAGTCAAGTTTCTCGTACTTGAAATGGACCGTCAGGACATCTCCGTTCCCAAATTGCAAGTCACGGTTCAAAGTCAGTGGCGCTCCACCCTCCAAGGCCACCTGAACCCGCGGTGGCTGGACTTCCCAGGCCATGAGATCGTCTAACTTCTCCCCAATCTCGATCACTCCTTTCTCATAGCATCGGTACCCCGGCAAACCTTTGATCCGAATCCAAAAGGGAATTGAAGAGGGAAAGTCTATTATGCT